AATGTATTTTTCGATATCTTCAAAGTTATTTTTTACATATTATATAAAATATGATACGGTCAATGGGGGGGGAGGGCATGGCCCCTGTGGCTCCCTGGCTATGCCRCTGGTTGTAGGTACCTTTAACTGCTTTAAATATGTTTATTGCTTAACTTAATCTTTTTGTTTTAGTTATTTATAGAAATCACTATTGAAGTTACCCCCCATTTTTCTTTATTKCTGAGCGCTAATAATAGTGTTTAGCTAGTTCAAATCTAATAAAAAAAAAAATTRTTGCTATTACTATCTTTTAATTGTATTAGAGTAGAATTTCAWTWTTTTAAATAGTAAATACAAATTATGAATCAAAGATGCATTTTATTTTATTTGAAACATCTAATGAGGTAGATATACAAAATACAAATATCTCATTTATGTTACTAGTTTTTACGCTAACCTACCTTATGACTATAATAGTGTAATTTGTCCTTGATGGTATGAACACTGTATTTATGTGTATGATATTGATATAAACATGAATTATCATTTTTTTTTTTTATTCGTTAACTTTTTAACAGGTTAGTAAATATTGCTACCATCAAAACTGGTCATGAAGGTTTTTTAAGAATAGTTAAAAATGTATGCTAGTTACTTTTAATTGATATACTTATCTTTGTATTTGTTAACATTATGTCATTATATATTGAAAACTTAATTCATACATTGTTGTATTTAAATAGTGATTTTTCTTTTCATTATATTGCCTATAATACATTTATACCAGTGGCGTAGACATGATTTCTGAAAGGGGGGATCAAAAAAAAAAAAACGACAACTAAATGGGAGGTGAAAATTGGAAAATCCACCACCCTCTCAAAATTTTTTTCTAAGGTACCTAGTTTAATGTTTATGGTATTCATGTTTAGCATAATTATTTAAAGTCTAATAAAATTAATAAAAAATAAATTTTAAATATTTATAATATTGAAAAATTCAAAATGTGTAAACATAACTTTATAGACATACGTCATACATATTATATATAATATACTGTATATTGTTGTCTCTATAAATAATAAGATAAGCTATAATAAAACATAATCGTAGTCGTCAATCGTCATCGACCATTTTGACCAAATAAATATTACTGTTTACTTTGCTAATTTGCTATAAATAAACGAAAATAAAATTATAATGGTATTCAGTAATCAGTATATTGAAAAAACTGTCAAAATTCAATAGCTCAATAGATCACAATTCACAATATGAAAAAATATTACATTATAGTGCATACTACATAATGTAAGCGAAAACAAAAAAGAAAGCTAATGGGGGGGGATCTGACCCCCACGTCCCCTTGACAACGCCACTGATTTATACATCATTATTATATTTGATATGTAAATATGTAATTGATAATTTAATGAAATACCAAACATTGATTTAAAATAATATGCCAATTTTCTTTTATAACATTTTCATATGTACTCATCAGCAATAATATATGTTTGCAAATTTAAAATTTAATATTTTACCATACTATTTTTGAAGTTATTAGGTACCAATACTTTWTTTTATATATTATTTGTTTTTGTGTATTTATSTATAAAACCACATATGATATTTGATTAGAGCCTTAACACAGGTGTATATTTCTAAAACTGTATTTTTATTAGTTATTGTATTATTAATAATCTTACTTGTCTTAGATAAAGAATATTTTTTAAATAATTTTATACATTATCTGTTGTTAAATTGTTGCAAAAAAATACTGTAAATATAAATAAGTTGATGGCTTTGTCAGRAAAATTTTAAATAATAATAGAAAAAAAAGATGAAAGATAATATATTTAATGTTTAGTGTAATTTACATTTTAATTTGATTACCTATTTTATATTACAGATAATTTCATCAAAAAATGTTTCTTTGGGATTGGGTTACCGGCGTGCTGGGATATTTAGGTGAGTAATATTTCATTACTTACTATTCATTGTTTGTTTTGTAATTATTTATTAGGTATTACAAATATATTAATTTTTTAAATTGACTCTACTGTAGGTATTTAATTTATATCTGTGTGAACCTATTTGATTACAATAGTTCATTGTTTATTGTAACACATATTGATAATATATTTGTATTAAATCTAATTCTGTAATTTTTCTATTATTACTAAATAATATGAATACAAAATACATTAGATAAATTATATATACTATAATGTTATGATTTTATAGGGTTGTGGAAAAAATCAGGAAAATTACTATTTCTTGGTTTAGATAATGCTGGAAAAACTACTCTATTACATATGTTGAAAGATGATCGTTTGGCACAACACACTCCAACATTGCATCCAAGTATGAAACTGTTGTTTGATTATATATATTTTATATTTTTGTACCTTGGAAATTTAATTTTTGATTATTTATTCTATAGCATCTGAAGAATTATCTGTTGGAAACATAAAATTCACAACATTTGATTTGGGTGGCCATTCTCAAGCAAGAAAAGTGTGGAAAGATTATTTCCCTGCTGTAGATGCAATCGTATTTTTGGTAGACGCTTGTGACAAATCTAGAATCATGGAGAGTAAAAATGAATTAGATTCATTATTGCTTGATGAATCCTTATCTAACTGCCCYGTACTCGTTCTTGGTAACAAAATTGATAGACAAGGTGCATTGAATGAAACAGAATTAAGAAATTATTTTGCATTGAACCAAACAACTGGAAAAGTATGTAAACCATGATATTTTATATGTATAGTAAATCTATTGACACATTCATGACCCTGAGATAAATTAGAGAGATTTACAATAGACTACTAAAAATATTATCATATTAAAGTACCGATACTAACCATCTGATGGCCAAAATTTAAACCAGCCATTAAAACCAATACCTCAAAAATTGCATAAAACAAACCCGTCTATAAATTCCATGTGCAATATATCTTGTGACAATATCCTAAACAAACCCTTGTCACTTATATTAATCTAGCCATTAAGATGTGAATTGTTGTTACCTTTTATTWTTATATTTATGGATTTGAATTGTGTTCAAAATACAGATTTAAAAAATCATAGATATCAACMTAATATGTCATATATTTATATATATTATTACTAACAATTAAAAGTATGTCAATGCATTTTTGGTTTTCTCTCTTTGATCCATGTGCTTTATTAAAAGAGTACCTACTCTATAGAATATTATCTATGTTCATATTTTGACTTTTTTTCCATAATTAAATTATTCTATGTTATGAGTATTCTTAAAATGCTATATTCGATGTAATATTTATTTAAAACAGCATATTAATAAAAATAAATAATGTGTTTAACTTAATAATAGGTCAATCGAATTTAAAAACCAACACTAAGATTTTTCTGCTATGTTGTTTGTAGGACAGAGAGAAAACTATGAGTGTGATGACATCTTTGTAATATTGTAATAATAATAGGATTAATGAGAATCCAACTTCTAGATATTTAATATAAATTACATCGCCTTAATTTTAAATGTATGATTATTAATTATAAAATATGATCTTTTCATATTCACATCTGTACTCATTAACTAATTTTTTTTTTTACTTATAAATACACAACAAGGTGATAAGTTACAATTTAGGTATCTCATCAAAACTAAATGACTTCTAAGTCTTGCGGGTACATTATTTTGTGTGTTAGAAAATTATCTTGCCTAAGTAGTAGGATAATAAAGTGAAAAATGTTTCACTCAATGTCTTAATTTAAATTTATTTAAAGTGGTTTATTTATTATGAAATAATTAATTCAGTATTGTATGTAATAAGGATATAAATTAACATAAGGTTATGTTACTTTGTTAACATGATTTATTATAATCTGTTTTGATTACTATTTATTATTTAAGCTATTAAATATCAAAATTGTTTCATTTCATGATATTTAATTTTAGGCTAAAGTACCCAGATCAGATCTTCCAGGTCGTCCTTTAGAAGTATTCATGTGTTCTGTATTGAAACGTCATGGTTACGGAGAAGGGTTCAGATGGCTGGCACAATATATTGATTAATGTTTATAATATATATATATGCATATATATATATATTTAAAAAAATATATATTTTAATTTTAAATTCATTCTTTTTTTTACTGTTCTCTCTACCAGTAAGGTATACAATTTAATGTAACATGGCTAAACTTCCAATTAAATCATTTTGTATAAACCAATTTCAGTTTTTATGTTAATAATTTTACTGAGGTAACATTTTTTTTGTCTTGTACCACATATTATTTTTATTTAGGTGTGCAGTAATGAAAAAATAAAAGTTAAATGTATTTAATTGCTTTTTCATTATTATTTTTATTAAATAGACAAAATAAAGTAATATTTTTTTTTTGTGACTAGAAAACATTTTATGTGTAAAAAAAATTGACAATTCAGTAATAACTAATAAATTATATTTTATTTATGAGCTTGATTTAGTAAGTTGCATAACGCTGTTATATAACTTTGAGCCATTTGTAGCGTTTCATATTTTGATAATTTGTGTTCATCTTCTATGGACATTGGTATAGCTTCTCTGAGTCTATCAAATGCTTCATTTAAGCCATTCATGCGTCTACGTTCCCTCGCATTAGCTGCTAAACGTCTTTTTCTTGCTACCGTAGGAGATRTTGACTCTTTGCTGTTAGGTTTTGTTGGTATGTAATCATTTGATGATTGTCTATAAAGAAAAAAAAGTGCAATGTATATAATATGTAGACAAAACTGTAATATATGAGTCATATAGGAATAGACAATGGTTATAAATTATTATATACCTAATTAACCTAATAAGATATACCACATCTAACCTAAAAAGAATAGCCATGTTGGGTTGTTCAAAATCTAAAATGTCGACATTTTTATTTTTTATACAAGTTTTCTACTTGTAAGTAATTTGATTAATTCATAAATAACAATAATATACGGTTTCCGATCTCAATGAACCTATTGAAATTAGCATAGTGTTTAACATTTTCGATACTATAGTAAAAGGTTAARGCTGTTATTAGGTAATATAATMTAAGATAATATGTAATTGTGTGCAGCAAACAGTTCACAGTAGAAGAAGAATAGAGACTTAGCATGTGATTCTGATTTCTGAAGTATTTTATAATTTTTTGTAAAGAATAAATTAAATTTTTTAGAAAAGTAACTGATTCAATCATCAACTTTAAGAATGTTAAATTAGAATCTTTAGTGAACTATCAAAGTCAAAAATGCAATGTAAGTAGGTATCTACTCGATTTTGCTACTTTGTTGTGATTCAAAAATATTTATCATAGAAGTTTGAAACATTACACTAATACTTAAATAATCATTGGCTAATTACAATTATATTATTATTTATTTTGGATATTTGGAATATTTTAACTTTTTTTTAGTAAATAATTATCGATAGAAAAAATGCTCGGCTTTGAAAATGTGGTATATGGTTTATCATAAATTGCAATTTAAAAAGAAAAAATACATAATTTTTCATTTATAGGTACCCTTTAAATTAAAATTTTGATGAATTGAATACGAAACATAAAYATTATTCATTAAACAACTTAACAATTATATTGGAATTCAAAAAAATATATTTATCGTAAAAACTTAAAAATTTTCAGCATAATTTGTATAACTACCTAGGTACATGTTATTATTTTCTAAAAACAATGAAAATTTCAAAATATTTARACTAATTTTAAGTTAATTATGTACCTACCATGAACCTAAATATCTATTCATATTTCACGCTATCCACCGCGCCACCGCGGTATATATAATATATGTTGATATTGACATAATTTTATGATAATGGATATATAAATTATATAATTATAATTATATATAAATTATATTATTATACAGCAATACAAAACCCGATGTTTCTGTCAAAAACCTGTTCAATCTTGTCGTATATTGTAGATATTCAACACAATTATATTATACTTATGTAATTTGAATTGTAAATTATTAACATAGGTCAGTGAAGCTAAATATGCTGAGGCGACATAAATATTTTCTATATAACACCGTCAGACACACAGGCGCGGGGAGTCCTGTTGTCACTGAGTGATTCGACAAGAACGTAGGTACGACGATTGTACGTGTGAAACGGCGTTCGTAGTACGGGCTAGACAATCTGGATTTGCTAAGTGTTTTATTTATGTTTGTTTTAATTTAATAAAAGCGTTTCCTAGTTGAATATTATTACTTCAAGTTTTCTTCGTTCATACCTTTATATTGGAACAGTGCTCAGACGCACAGATCTATAATCAATGAAGTTTATTTTAAAACTGAATGTAGCGGCTACGGTCGTGGGTCACTGGGTCCTAAACTCCTAATAGTATTTTCCAATTTTAGGAAACGGGCGTAGAAAAAACAAAATATCTTTAGAAATTGWATCTAAGACGCTGTTCCCGCTTAGAATAATTGTTTTGAATTTTTCATTGAATTAAAGTTTAATTTTACGATTTAMACATGCCTATGACCTATCCATTATACAGTGATGATTGATGAGTGATCTAATCAATGATGAAGTCCACTCGAAACCTATCTCACGTGAAATTTTATACAGTAGCCAATAATTAATTACGCATATAATGCTACCAGTGTCGGTCTGGCCATGGCCGATAGGCCGCGAACACATCCGGGGTCTCCGGCGGTAATTATGTCGAGRGGCCCCAATATTACTAAAAATATAATATTCCGACCTACTTATAAACATTTTTTATCATTTTATGAAATGACATGTTTGGGACCCTTCTAAAGAAATGCATCCGGGGCCCTTTAAGTACCAGGCCGATACTGATTGCTACTGCATAGTGCATACCTGCATGTAGTGAGTGTTGCAATTACGGGTCAACATTATCGAAAACAATGCTAATGGCATGTAGAGTTCAAAAGTTGAACTAKGTATTGTTAGGAGTATACACCCATGTTTGGCACCACAAAAGTACCYGATAAAACTCTCATGGCAAAATTAATATCCAACAAAGTCTGTTTGTAATCTAACATTCATGTAGTCACGTAAGTACAACTGTCAACGAGTTGCGTTTTRTGCTTGTAGCCGTGGAGGTATTTAGTAAGTGTCTGTTGCATACAGTGGCGGCCTAAGATACGGGTGAACCCGGCGGTTGCCCGGGGAGCTACTTTTAGKGGCGCTTTTAATATACTAATAKTTTATAAATTTTAGCKTAATATTTATTCAAATTTACCATAATATAGCTAAATGACTAAATTATCTATGACAGAATTTTCTGTTATATATTTTCTTTTATAGATTTTACTCCACTTTCCAGTTTTTATTATTATATTACAKATAATTAAAAAATAACATACAATGATACATAATCATTAACTCGGGAAAATCAAAAAAATATGTGTTACAGCCGATACGTCCATAAATTGTATCCAAATAAGTTTTGCAATCCTTTACCTATGCATAAATATAAGAATTKTAAACAAAATATGTAGTCAAGTTTAAAAAGTATTAAATGTATTATGGAGCATTTGATTAAGGGCGCCTTTCGAAATATTGCCCGGGGCGTGAAAATACCTTGGGCCTGCCCTGGTTGCACAATAGCTGCATGTGCTGTTAACTTTTCGAGGGCAATATAATAACATTGTACGTGTTAATTAATAAAAGTATAGGGGACGAGGTGGCCGAGTGGTCTACCGCGTCGGCTGTGGCTCAGCCGGACCGGGTTCGATCCTCGACCATCGGGCGGCATTTTTCTCCGGGCAAGTCACGGTGTCCTGAGAACAAGTGCCGCCATCCCCCACTCCGGGGCATGGCAGAAACCTACGGGTGCCCCAATAGAAATTCTGCCAAAACTCTCACCCTGCACGTGTAAAACCAACCAACAGTACTACCCCCTTACCAATGGACTTAGTTGCCGTGGGATAATTTAAAAAAATAAAATAAAAGTATATATACATATAGATAACGTGTTAGAGTTAGGTATAAGTATACCTGAAATAGGAACGATTCCATCGATCGCTGTGCCTGGAMGTCAGTGGCTGCAGTAGCTGCAGATGACCGGTGAACGAGCATTCGCCGTCTGCCGGCGGTAGTCTGGACAGTCTGGTCGAWGGCAGTGGCGGACTACCACAGCTGGCAGTCGCGTCCCAGCAGCCGTGGTCCACGGAGTCATCGAGGAATGCTCGCTGCCCGTGATTGAACCCCTCTGATGACGAACCGTCCGACGAGTGTTGCCACTGCCAGTACGAGCCGTGCCGCGACGGCGTTTCGCCCTTKCCGTCGGAATTTCCCAGGTTCACGCAACCGTAGTCGGTGATCGCCACTGCTGCACCCAGATGACCCTGATGATGTGCATCGAATGACTGGTGGTRGTGCAGCTGTTGCTGCTGATGCTGCTGCTGATGATGATGATGACGAAACTGAACCATATCCATCGTCTGCAGCTGGGTTACTCGTTGACCACCATTCGTCACTGTTATTGCAGCTGTATACCTACAAATTATTAATAACGACTTGATAACGCACGGACCGTTACGATGGTGTTATATGAAGTGATATAGCCATATAGGTATATTGGTATACTGTATATACGCGTGGTCAAGGAATAGGTAAACTACTCGCATTAAAATGGCCAATAACAGGTCTCACTGATTCCCTTGATAGAAACATTTTTGAAAATCGTTTTGTCAATATCTAGCACGTCATTTAGATAACATAAATTTGCAAGGCCTGTTAGTAAGTTTGCATGACACTCCTTCCTCTTGACAGTGACAGTGACGGATTTAACGATCGTTTAGTCGGCAAATGCCAACTTGGTAATTTTTCTAATATATCATGTATTTTCACCTAAATTATATAGATCTTATGGGGTGTCGCTAAACCCCCCAACACCCGTACAATCCAAGCCTTCCAGTCAATATGCTTTCGACTAGTTACATCTGCACCCTGGTACTTAACCAACAATAATCTCCACAAAGATCTCAAAATCCAAAATCTCGACCAAATATCCAAACTATATTACACCAGACTCCACAACAAATTTCAACAACACACAAATCCACTAATCTCGAAATTATAACTAACACTCTCCCTGGTAACCCGCGCCGTAGACTCAAAAGGCAATGGTGTAGAGATCTACTTTAGTAAACGAGCTATATATCAAACCTACTTATTATACTAAGAAAATGTATAGATTGTAGATTACTTCGAATATATTTTTAAAAAAAATTGTATATTAACATGCAAATGTGCAATACATAGTAAATAGGCAATAACTTTTAACTTAAGTAGATATCTAATAATTTATTAATACATAGACTACAATAGTTAATTATTAATTATCAAACAGATTTTTATCTGTTGGACTTAACGTCCAGACAAAAAATAACGAAAAAAAAATGTTAAATTGCTATAACCATTTATATAGCTGTCTTAACAAAATTTATTTTTGTTATAAATATTAAATTGTAAGGTTAAAAAAGAAATATTTATGTTGTATCTATTATTTTAAAAGTCAGTTTAAACTGTTTTATTTTTTGTTGTACCTATATAAAGTTTAGTTAGGTACCTATATTAATAATTAATATGTTAGGTAGTTAAATTTATTTTGTGAGCAAAGACTGCAASTTATAAGAAAAAGTATTATTTTGTAATGAACAGTTTTAAAAAAATRTTAAATTGTTTTTAAATTAATAAAAATATGGTTTTAAACATTTAAAAAAAAAAAAATAATTGCATCGTTCCAAGTGACCTTCCACAAATGATTAATTGCAATCTGCATTTGAAAAAACGCTTGTTCCAAGTCAGTAGTCACCCAACACCCCGGTCCCCGGGTGACTTGGAACAAGCACTTTTTATTTTTATTTTATCTTAATTTACTCAAGAACTTTATTTTTATTTTTTTTTACTCAATATATTCCTTGGAGGTGTGCGACACTGCATGATTTTTTACAGAACTTAATTATCAATAATGAATGTATTACAGTAGTTAAAAGGTCAAAATCGTTCCAAGTCACCCTGATTGACGGTATAGACAGACTACAATAGTTAATTATTAATTATCAAACAGATAAAAACTTAACGTCCAGACGAAAAATAACGAAAAAAAATGTTAAATTGCTATAACCTTTATATAGCTGCCTTAACAATATTTTACTGTAGCTATATGGGCAATCTTAATATTATGTTACCACAAATACTAAAACAATATTGTTAACACGATTTTGTTGTAAAAACCAAACATCTTTTGTAAATATAACTCAACAATCATCATTTACATTCCTAGGAAAAAATATTTTATGATAATATATTTGCAGTATTGACTTTGTCTTAAAAAATAAATTTTAAACATATAAGAACCTAACATTGTTAAATTACGTCCTAAAATGGTCGATTTAAGTGATTTAACGTCTTCTCATAAGTGTTTATATCATTATAATGATTAACACAGATAAGATAGGTAGATAGGTAGGTATTATAAGTATTATATCATAATAATTAATAGTACCTATTTAGTCATACATTGAAGAACATCGTTGGCCAATTTAATAACCRTATAGCTTACTGGCTTATACTAACAATGTCAATAAATAAAAATATACAATAAGTACTTATGATATTTTATATCAATATTATCACAGTATTATAGGTATTTAGGTAACTGCCATTTAATCGTTAGATTAAGTAATTTGTTTGCGTATTTACTGGTATTTTATGAAGTACATACCCATGTCATATATTTTTAAGATTTAACGCGTTTCGATTCAAACAGACACCTGATTACATAGTATATAGTACATATTATGTATTATAATAAAGTATATTAGATAATTTCTTAAACATTTAATAATAATTAAATTATTTAACTAGGTACATGATTTTATTAAATATTTATGATGTTTTCATTTATTATAGCTTATGGCAGCGATGCCCAACCCGTGGCTCTCTGGCTACTTGTGGCCCTCCGAAGCCTTATACAACTTATAAGTGACCAGTGTCCTGTTTTTATATTTAAAAAAATTTACTTTACATCATATGTGCTTATGATAAATTTAGTAAACTGCAATGTAGTAATGAAATATTAAATTTATATTATTGGTGACCCGCGCAAATGCAATATTTWAATAATGTGGATTGTGGACCACCGAAGAAAAAAAGTTGGTCGTAGCTGGCTTATCGTATTTTATATTATGTGTATATATTTTTAGATTTTAAATAAATCTAATTCAAGTCTATATAATATGCGAATTATGAAGCACGRCAATTATGAATCGTTTAAGTAGTACAAAATATCTCAAAAATTTGAAAGTATGGTCCTTAATAGTAGGTAGGAGGTATATTAAAAATTCCACAAATCAAAATTTGAATAAATTAATCAATACATTGAAGTTGGAGTGTGCATACTCAGTGAACCATATCCGAAACATATACCTAATACAGGGTGTCCCGCGAGGATTTACCCATTGCGATATCTCACGAAATAATGGAGATATCAAAATTCTGGTTTTATATTATGATTCACTAGGATAAGAACTACAATTATTTCATTTTTAAATTTATTTTAATTTTTTTGAAAAAATGTAAAAAATATATTTTTGTTATTTAATTATTTTCAAAAATATTAAAGATAGCCATTTTGTAGAGTTTATTTTTCTGAAAATATTGACGTTTCAAAATTTTATTTTCATTAATTTCCTGATTTTTAATATTTTTTCTAGTTTTGAAGAAATAAAATATGATTAAAATATTTATGACTATTAGGAACACGGAAGGTATTCGGCCGGCCGTATGGGAATGCACGCGGCACGGCGAGTCACATGTTTGATAACATTACGGTGTTAATATTAATAATTCTTAATTTTTGTCGAAACTAAAAAAAATATTAAAAACCARGAAATTGATGAAAATAAAATTTTGAAACGTCAATATCTTCAGAAAAATAAACTCTACAAAATGGCTATTTTTAATTTTTTTGGAAATAATTAAATAAAAAAATATATTTTTTAACATTCGTACCAAAACATTAAAATCAATTAAAGTATGAAATAATTGTAGTTCTTATCCCTGTGAGTCTTATTATAAAATCATAATTTCGATATCACCATTATTTCGGGAGATATTGCAATGGGTAAATCCTCATGGGACACCCTTCATATTATGTATACATTATATATAATATATATACATATATTATATACCTATATACGCAAATTTGTATGCCTAAGTAATCTATAAGCTATTAAATAATCAATTTAAATAAGCCCATTTTTATTGTACCTTTATAACTTTATAATATACATAATAATTTATAAATATTTTGCCGTTTGGAACATGTAATTTTAAATTTCTACATTTCACACATACATCGTCACTAAACATAACCACATATAAATCAACACCTATAGTGAATATAAAAATATATTATATACATATTTTATAWTAACAGGTAATATTTTATTAATAACAAAACGATTTAAATTCAAAGTTGATGGCTGTAGAAAAGTATGCAGCGTAACGCAAATTAAGATTTCAGATTATTGTAATAGTCGTTAGAATCGATCATGAAAAATAAAATATAGTGTACTTATTAATAATACAACTGTAAATAAATTCAAGCAAAATATGTTAGAATATTATAGGTATTTATAGGTGTAGGTATTATAGGTGATATGTACCTCAAATAACAAAAATATAATATTATGTATATGTATATATATATATATATTATATATTTACCTGTTGACAATTTCGCTGGTAGCGTTATACTCGTATGTGTGTTACTATATTATGTTAGCCAACGGTATATATTTATTATTCATGTAAGTATGCAATCACGGCAATGGAAAATATGTACATAATACGTACCATAAATCCACAGGTGATTATATAAAACTTGAATAAATGATTTAATGAAAAAAACACGCGGGCGAAATACGATCRCAGACGGACACCAACGGAGAGTATCGTTATTACTATTATTATTACTAGGTATTATTATTGGGCACTTGAGCAGACGGCACGGCAGTTGACGGCACGAGCCTCGAACACTCATTGACGCGGAAGCGCGTGCCGACAGACGGCATATGGTCATCCTACCCGCGTGTAAAGGATAATAATAATAATAATAATAATAATAATAATAATAATGGTATCGTATAATAGATAGATCTTCTATCTTTAAACAACGCGCGCGCGGTCATTATGTATTATTCGTTATACGATTCCATTCGCTGGTTTCGTTTCGAGTTTTTTTTATTTCCTCTCCCCCATCGACCCCCTCCCCCGGCGGAACAACGCTTGCACCTATCCGCACGCGCGACTTGCAACCCGACTCCTACTACATCATCATCCCCCGGAACAATCATTTTCAACGGTCTTATAACTTCGCGAGTATACGTTATTGAAATATACATATTAATATCAATGTGTAATGATATATAATATTGTTTGTAACTTATTCGCATATACAATATATAGTTACAATAAATAGTGTACCAATGCTTGAGGCTTTTCTTCTATTATACTCTCCAAGACTCAAAAATCACAGACAGATAATATCTTATTTAAATGTCATAATAATAAGTAATTAGGGTCCATAGAAATATAGAGTTATTGTTTTATATGGGATACTATGCATAATTGTTGAATATTTTATAGTTATTATTACAGTTTAAAAGGTAGCTAATAATATATAAGCTATAACTTTAAATCTAAGCCTAATGATTATGTCGTATCAATTTCATTTTGCATATAGGTTTATCTATTTGGAACATTATAATATATCATTATATACGAATTTGCCAATATTTTATTTGCACCTGTATATGATTGTATGAACATAAATTAAGTTATAGCAAAATGATTGATGATAAACAGTTATCAACGTACTAATATGAGTATATACATGACAACCAGTATAAAACCTATAAGTAAAGACAAATATATCGTTTTCGTCGTCCATGTGGTGACATAGTCCGAGTTGTTCGAGGTCCACGGATGTGCTCACGGTGAAGGCGAGCATGTAATATCCACTMTTTTATTGTTATTTAAAATTTATGATTAAGCAATGAATTATATTTACCAGTTTACGCCTTACGGTATATAACGTGGTCTGAGAATAACCAAAAGATATCTTCCAATCCAAATAAGTGCCCACTCCCCACACCACGGTGAAAATTATCGGTGGTTAAACGTTAAAAGACCCGAAATTAGTGATATTGTTATTTTTTGTAATAATATTGCTCAGTATACCTATACACGATAGTACGCTACAATTTAAACGCTATAGTAGAGTGAAGTAGTATGTATGGTACTACATATATTATATCAATATTTAATAATCAATTCTCCTCAATACTAATTAATAATTATTAGTAATTTCGTGTGATTAACAAGTCACTATAGGTAATCATTATTCAAACCTTTTTTTTGTATTTATTTATTTATGTATTTTTGTCCAAATATTATACTATGCAGTAGGTGATTCTTATAGTTTTGTGTGATATATATTATACATGTTACATAACAACATAAAATTTTGTTGTACCTTGTACCTACCTATAATACGTATGTGGACATGAAGTAAATCGTATCTATATATTTATATACCTATCTATACGGTCTATATTTATAGTAAAAATATTATTTTTTTCTGGCTACGAAGTGCACGGGTTCAGCTAGTATTTAGTGTACTTTCAACTTTGATATATATTACAATAATTGTATATTATTTATTTCATAAATATCTAGTGATTTTTGTTTCACGTTTTCAAAAAATATGTTTTAACTTGTATAAGGTTAGKGTCTACTAAACTATTTCTTAAATAACTCTTTACCGAATCAGCGAATCATTGTATTTTTGTATTTAATCTATAATGGGTATTAGGTATTGGGTAATAATRTCCACTTAAAATTTATAAAAAGTCAATGATACACATTTTATAAGATTGTCCATACTTCTTTCATTATAATTTTATGCTCTACACATATCAATCATATTATTTTTAATTTTTTTTTGCAAATCAACATACATTTTTTTCCGGGAGTTATCAATTTATCTTTGCCTAATTTAACTAACTMATAAAAATTAATTAGCTGATTTATATTCATATTTTATTCTATTTCGATACTCTAGTTTTTTTTTTTTTTATTATTAAGGCATTTTTGATATGGGGACATTTTTAACAATGGAAAATTTCACCGCGAACATTCTTGAYTTCTGAATTTTTACCTTGAACACTTTGGTGGACTACCGTTTATAATATCATATCATCACGTGTCTTATACGACAAAAAGTTTTATTTTATTATTTACCGATATTATTACATGCGTATTAAATTATTATTTAATATTAAATAAAAGTTGAGTACCTAGTTAATTTTCAATGTGTGTTCAATAATTTAAAATATATTATCACATAGTAGGTACACAGGTACAATGTACATAACAATATACCTATTTGTGTAAGTTTTAAATTAAAAGCAGAATACATGTTACCTAATACCTACATATTAGTTTATTTTGTTAAATGCACTTAAACACATTGCATAATAGTATGTAATTTAGAGCAATGTTTGTATTATATAGTTTAGGTATATTTAAATAGTAGATTCGACGTCACTTACCCATCATAATCCATATTGATTATACTTGGTATCTTTTTAAATACGACGTATATGCTAAAAAAAACTCCGTGGGTATAAGTACATAATATATTATGTTTTAGCATATTAGGTATTTAATAATATACACCATTTCATAACTGTGTACAGTGTACTGTATTACTGTATATAATTATTATGCTTTTGCGTTCGTTTACGACTTGTTCCCGCGAATGGGTTTTAGGTTGTGTACATGCATAATATTATACAACACATGTATATATTCCTGTCAACCCAACTATAAAATATTATAATATAATAATTAATATTTTAAACCCTTACGGCCGCAATCCAATTAGAAGATGCATGCTTGAAAATTATATGGATGTTTTTATATCTTATGTATTATAACGGAGGTCGTAGACATATTTCATACACCATTACCTTACACACACACAAACACATATGTTACGATTAATATAATATATATTTCTATATCAAATATAGGTATATCCATTGTTATTATTAATGTTTAATTATTATGTACTGGGAAACGGTGTAGAATTTCAAAGGCCTTAATATTAATACTATACGAATATTTACGATCTGCGCTATATTATAATGTAATAAGTTATAGTTTAACGTACCATATAGGTACTTAATACTATTATATAGTAGGTATCGACATATATAATATTTTAAAAAAGGTAGTAGATATTTTATGCACATAAATACGTATAGTATATAATTAAACCTATAAAAT